GCCCCCCCCCCCCCGGGCGTTTGTTTAACGCTTCACATTTGCTACTGATGGAGGGGTTTTTCCCCAAACGTCTCCACCAATTCCACACGTAAGCACTTTCAATTTCCAATGGAGTGTGTGCATTACTAGGGGTGGCGAATGGTAAATGCGAGACTTTACAAGACGGCGAGACAAGCGTTTTTCTTTGCGAGCTCGACACATTTTGACTTTTTAGGTTGCGAGACCGAGACTTCAAAGCGCTTTGAGTGCGAGCAAAAGACGTTCAGACTCTTAAAATTCGAGCCCCAGATTTAGTTGAGAGCTAGAATGAGCTTGTACAGCCCTAAGCCAGCTTCTTGGAACTGACTATTGAGCTGGAAAGTTGTAAACAGATATAAATTTAGTACCTCTTATGTCTGATGAGTATAAGACCTTTAGGGGCTCTTTAGTTTTGGATTTGAGGAATTTGATGACGTCACGTGCACACATTCTATTCAAATTTTTGTTGCTACACAGCGAAACCTGAAGAAATGGCGGCGCGCTTTCCAGACGATGTATCGGAAAGCGAAAGAACGAAGTTTCGCAATGAAGAGGACTTCAGTGGTAAGTTACAGAAAGTAAACTTAATTAGCGGCAGTATTCGCGTGTGTCAGGTTTTTGGTGCCTGAGTTTTAAAATGGAACTGCTTACTAAGCAGCTTTATGTTTTCGTAGACTAATTGGTAATACATAATTAAGCATATGTCCATCCACTACCTACTGTCATCCATTACTTTGAAGTAAGATGAGCGATAAGTTATCGGTGTGAAATATCTTTAAGTTTGGCTTAACAGAACGTAACATATCTGTAAGCTAACTTTCCTTGCTCGTTGATTGTAGAATTGAAACTTGTAGATACAATTCAACATTTATTAAGCTCAATCAGTCGACACATCGGAAATCGATAGAAATTTTATGATTATCGATTTTTGTGGATTTTTACTCGTTGAAGTACGATGTCTATCGATTTCAATCGAGAAGAGGATTTGAAAGGCATGTAGCTATTTAGAGAACAACATCACGAACTCGAAATTATATTTTGCCCTGCCAGCGGAAACACAAAACAAGAAAAGTTTCAAGTAATATTTTGTTACGTTTATGGTATGTCTTATAACCTTGCTATCGAATCGCGGTAGTTCCGAAGCGAACGTAAGATATAACGGAAACGAAAAAGAGAAGACTGCGAGCAATCTCTCTTTTCCTCAAAAGTCCGTGGAGATGAACGCAAAACAAGTAAGCGTGCGAACGTGACTGTGAGCGTTACGTGGCATCACGAGCCAGAGCTAACCGGAAGCTCAAAAATTCGCCAGGTCCGGTTGCTATGGGGTGATGTCATTTATCTGTTAGGTTGCTGTCATCGCAAGACTTTTGCGGTTCTATTGTGGTTAGCGATAATTGCTTTCAGTAAGAGTAATTGTGTGCAAAAGTAACCTGGTTATTTTCAGATGTGATCTGACCACATAATTGATATTTTATAATAAATTTTCATGACGCGGGAATATTGCGCGGTCAGATATGAAAAAAAAGACTTCGACTTCGAATGAACCCGTCATCGGTCGTTGAAAACGGACGCAAAACGAGATGTGCCTCTGAGTTAGAAGATATGGTGTCTCTCTGACGCATTTGTGCGAAATTGAGCCAGTTTCCAATCGAATTTGCCTTGA